GCCGTGGGCTTCTGAGGAAACTGGGCGCAGCCGCGTCCTGAGGCCGGGACGGCGGCCGCCACACTGCCCTTCCGCTGCCCCCACACTGCCCTTCAGCTGCCCGTTGCCCTGGAAAATGGTTTCCGTGTGCTTTCTTAATTTTATTTCACGTATTTTTTTATTTCTGTCTTTTGGAGGCAGGGTCTCTGAACTCACTTTGGAGCCCAGGCTGGCCTCGAACTCTCGGTGATCCTCCTGCCTCAGCCTCCTGTGGTGCCGTGATTATAGGTGTTGTGCCACTGGCTTCCATGTTCTTTAGTATGTTTCAGGTCAGTTCTGGATTGAACTGAAATGAACTTAAAGTTTGAATTGTTTTCCTTTTCCTGAATCATTTTGGGAGGAAAAACAATTGAAAGAGCACATAAGTCTAAAGGAGTCAGAGAGAGATTTTAAAGGCATGACTAGGATTTTAACAATAAATTTACTGATCATAACTTCAATTTTGTTATGAAAATGCAGAAATTAAAGTATTTTAGAAAGATTTTTGGTGCAGATGGGTTCTTGTTTTGAATTTATTTGCTTGAGTCCAGTTTTTATTTGCTTATGTATTTATTTATTGGTACCAGGGATCAAACTCGGGACCTTGCACTTGCCAGGCAGGTGGCAGCACCACCGAGCTACATCCCTGGGCCATTCTTTCAGTTATTTAATATATTATTGGAATTACACTTCACACTATATATTATTTTAACAGCTTGATCTCTTAGACTAAGATATTTGTAGAACTTTTGCGGAAATGCTGATTAATATGAAGTATCTGACGCAGGCCAGTGTAGTTAAAATTTCCAGAAAATGAGCAGGTTAGCTGGGGGTTTGGCTCCGTGGTGCTGCCGCCTGCTGCGCAAGCGCAAGGACCCGAGTTCGATCCCGGTACCAAAAAACAAAACAAACAAACAAAAAAACCTTAAACTTCATTCTGAAAAGGGGAAGAAAACATTTATCCACACACTGTCTTCTTGAGTCCTAAATTGTTAGATGTTTCTGCTTTCCCCGCTCTTTTAAGAAAAGTGCTATCTTTATCTTATATCTAGGATTACTAAGGTACAGAGAAGCTTCAGCTACATTTTCAAACATTAAAGTCAAATTAGTTACCAAACTAGTTAGATTTTTCTAGATGTTGGCCCTTGTTTATTCCTATCCCATTTCTCATTTTGTAAAAGAAAGGATTGAGAAATGAGCTGTTGTTTGTTTGGTTTTGAGGAGGATCTCATCTGTAGACAACCTGGAGCTGCAGTGATCTTCCTGCCTCAGCCTCCTGAGTGTATCGATGCAGATGCAGCTGAGTTTTAGAAAGTTGTGTGTGGTGTGTGTGTGAGTGCTCCGCCACAGGTAGTGGGCAGGTGGGGGCTCTGGTGGGAGGGTCACCTGGGGTTCAAGGCCAGCCCTGTCTCCGCAGTGAGCTGCTGTCTCCAAAAATCAAAGGGAGAAAAAGCCCCCCTGGATCCCAGGCAGGAGATCTTGAAGTCCGCGGCAGCGTTGCCGTGTTCCTGTGCTGACCAGCCTGTCCCCCAGCAGCTGGGCCTCGGTGCTTTGCGTCTTGGTGTCTGTGGTGCTGACAGGCTCTCGCAGGGAGCAGGCGCTGCCTTTCTAGGCCGCGGGGACGGGACGTTGCAGGTCCCCACTGTGGGTTTGTGAAAAACAAGCCTTGTGCTCAAGTTCACTGCCAACACGGTGCAAAGCAGGGGTTTAAAGCTTGGGCTTGAAGATGCCTCGCTTCGCAGGGCCTGTTTATCATCTTTCTCTGAATATTCAGACTTTGGGACTTTAAGGGAGCTCCCGGTAGTCTAGTGTCCCTCTTAGCTGTCTGTAATTATTTTACAGAGCTCTCTTTTGTGTTTAACCACAGGATTTACAGTGGAGTTGCAGTGGTTTTCATAACATATTATTTTATTTATTTATTTTTGGGGGGTACCAGGGATCGAACTCGGGACCTTGGGCTTGCAAGGTAGGCGGCGGCATCACTGAGCTAAATCCCTGGCCCTTTATTTTATTTTATTTTATTTTATTTTATTTTTCTTGTTTATTGGTACAATCTAGGTATACAATACAGTTACATTCATCAGTGGGGTCCTGTACCTTTACATAATAGGTCTTGATTCTCATTTTTCCCCATGTCCCTGCCCTCCCTTCACCCCCTCCTCCCCTCCCCATTTACAAACACCTTATTTCCATTTTTTCAGTTTCTCATATTTTTTTCCTCTCCCTTATTACCTTTCCCCCACCCTTCCCACTTTCCCTACACCTTTAGCTCTTTACTTCCTATTTTACATTATTAATTATCTCATTAGGATCCTGTGTACTATTATAGTTTTTCACACCACAGAAACTATTCAGTATTTCAGTTAAAGAAATCTCTGTATGAACATTAAAAATAGGGAATCCTAAAATAAAACTAAAAAGGAAAGTAAAAGAGAAAAGGCAATGATGTAACATCAAAATAATCCTTAATTCTGGAGATGAAAATGGTCCCCGAACATATTTAAATTGCTTCTTGCTCTTATAGTCTTATCTTATTCTTTTTTTTCATTATTTAGAGAATACTTTATTAGTTTCTGTAATCAAACCCACGTAGATGTGACCTTACATATTTAGTACGATATGTTACCCCTGTACACATGGAAAAAAATAAAAATAAAAATAAAATTAAAAAAATTAACATTTCTAGACCAATATGGCTGTCCATTTCTGTACAATGCCAACGCAACACAGTAAATTGGGATGACTTTTTCCAAAGTTGGCAACACTGTTTCCTTTATTTTATTTTTTGAGACACAGTCTCGCTGCGTAGTTCTGGCTGGCCTTGAACTCACTGTGTAGCCTAGGCTGGCCTAGGACTTGAGGTGATCTTCCTGCCTCAGCCTCTCAAGTGCCGGAATGACCAGGGTGCGCCACCATGCCTGGCTGAAGTGGTTGTCCTTACTCAGATCCATCCGATCGTAATAACTTGGCTTGTCTCCACTCCGTGTTCACGAATACGCCTTTGTGATGTCACAGGTGCTGAGAGCCAGGGCCCAGGCTTGTCCTGAGCTCTCTCTCCCTGCCCCTCGGAGCCCCTTGGTTGTTCTTGCTCTTCCCACAGGGTCCTGGAGAAGCTCACCCGAGCATGTGGCTTCGTGGAGAGTCTCCTTGAACAAGCCGAAAACATTTTCAAGTGTTCTGGTCTCTTCTATTATTAGTTCCATTCTTTTGTATTCTTGTCAGGATGCTGCTATGTTTTGACTTTTTACATTCTGTCAAGCATTTTTGTTACAAGAAAGGATAATTTAGCGTAGCCAGGGAAAGGTGGGAAGAAGAGGCACCAAGTGGATGTCATGTTATACAGGACATTGTCCACTTAGAATTTTTACATTTGTTTAAAAGTATACATATAGTCAAATTCACTTTGTATATAGATGAATGAACTTTGGCAAATACTAAGAGTGTATAACCTCCCCTTGGTCTGGGACAGGACGATTTTATCTCCTGGGGATGTCCCCTCTGCTAATGCCAGCAAGGTGGCACATGTCTAGGATCCCAGCACCTGAGAGGCTGAGGCAGGAGGATTGCTTCAAATTTGAGGCCAGGGGCCCGGGATTTAGCTCAATGGTGCCGCCACCGGCCTTGCAAGCACAAGGACCAGAGTTTAATCCCCAGTACAAAAAAAAAAAAAAAATTTGAGACCAGCCTGAACTACATAGTGAGATCTTATCTCAGAAAAACTAGAAAGGGGCCAGGGATGGAGCTCAGTGGCACCGCGCCTGCCTGGGAAGCGCAAGGTCCTGAGTTCGATCCCTGGTACCAGACACACAGCCCCCAACCAAGAGCATGTAACCTAAACCAAAGCACTTCTTCTGCTCCTGCTAATCCTACAGTAACACTTCCTCTTCCACCGCCCTGCTAGCCACTAAACTGTTTTTTCTCTGAACCTATTTTTGCCTTCTCCGGGGTGTCCTGAAAGTAGATTCCAGCCCTGTGAAAGTGGCTCCCTTTTCCACGGGCCCGCCTGCCGTGCACTCCTCAGGGTTTCGCCCTTCCATCGTGGGGGTGTCTGGGGCGGCCGTCCACCGGGTTCAGGACACGGGGGCCGCTCAGTTACCCTTTTGGGTATAGGTTGTTGTGTGAACACAAGAACACGAGTCCTGGGGTGTACCTCTAAGAATAGGATTGCCGGATGATGTACTAAGCGTGTGTGTAATTTAGTAAGAAAATACCAAACTATGTCCAAAGTAGCTGTTCCTTCTTCTTTTCTTGCTATGTAGCCCAGGCTAATCTTGAGCTCAATATGGAACCCAGACTGGCCTAAAAGTTTTAAATCATCCTCCTGCCTCAGCCTCCCTAGTGCT